TTTTTTTTTTTTTTTTTTTTTTTTTCCTCAATACTATGTCTGTTGAGCTGTTGATTTCAATTTCGGAAGTATTATCATTTTTATTAATTTCTTTATCTTATGAAGCATGCACATGTAGAATGTCAATTGGAAAGTCTCGCCTATCGATTTTCACAACTACAGCATGCCCACAAGATGGGAATTGATCTGACTAGGCCCTTCGTCCCATGTTTGTATGCTCGAGTGTGATGTTTATTTTAAAGAATTTGATATTCTGACTCGATTGCTCAGGTTATATACATGACCGGATGGCGAGAGCACCCGTCTCAGCAGAAAGCCAAGAGGAGAGGATCTGCCACAATATCCTTTGGTGACCTCCAAAAGCAATTTGGAGAAGGGACTTAGCAAGTTTATTTTGTCGAGAGCAAATACGTACGCTTTAAAGTATGCCATAATTACGCGAACAATTCACAAAAATGACGGTATATCCTTTTTCCTTTTCTTTTGTAATCCTCCAAATTGTAATGACCGGTGCCAACAAACTTTCCTTATCATCATTTGGATTTCAAATTTCATGGAATCAAATATTTCTAACGTTTATGATGCTACTCATCGAGTAAGATCGTCAGAGACCCGATTTATGAGTGAATTCACGAGAAAGGAAAGTAAGTATTTTTTAGTGAATTGGCAACACAAGCAAGAAAGAAGGTGTGAATCAACGAGCCACCATTTTATTTCATTGAAATTTTTGCCTAAAACCTTCGCATCTCCATAGGTATCTCTACATAGTCGATCTCTATCTTTGGAACTTCTCTAATCATCCACCAATCTCTACCTTCCTCTATCCTGCACCTGTCTTTTAGACCATCGCATTCCGAGATGATCAGAGCTTGAAGAGAACCCGGAAGACCATCGGCAGGCAACGAGCTGATCTCCGGACACCGGCTAATGCTCAAATTCCGAAGCCCATCCGTGTTCACAAGCGACGGCAAGTTCATCAGCCTCGGGCAATCCTCAATGCCCAGTTCACGAAGGCAAGGGAAACGGCTCAAATTGTGCACCTCCCAATGCGTCAAATTCGGTACGTCTTTTATCACGAGGCACTCTAACGATGGGAACAGCAAAAACTCTATTCCGATGTGAGGCCAGTCGAGCATTCTCTCGACAACTAGAGTTTTCAGGTACTGAAGCTTTTCGAGAGGGGCGAGGATTTGGTGGTGCCGGCAGCCCCGCAAGTGGACACTCGACAGCTTGTGATACGGTTCGCCGAACCAGCTCGGCAGTAGAGAGCCGTTGTAGTTCGTCAAGTTCAACTCCTTGAGATTCTCGTGAGGACGAAGGCCCGCTAGGGTTGCCCCATCGTTCGATCCGGGCTCGTTCCACTCTAAATCCAGCCTGTCGATAAACGGCTTCTCGTGCAGCATGGCTTCTTTAGCCTCGGCCAAATTTGGTACGTATTCGAGATTCTTCACGCATAGGGATCCCCTTAGATACCGCATTTTCCCTAGCTGCCCGACCCCACACCCTACGTCTCGTCCCACTGGAAATACGGGCAGGCCTTGAAGTTCAACCAGTTTACCAAACTCCGGTGGCATTCGACTAAGCTGCCTCGTGTTCAGATGAAGGTGCCTTAGGCTCACCATGTTCTTCATGCTGACGGGCAGCTCGAGAAGCCGAAAGCACCGCTCGAGCCTGAGAGTCTGTAAGCTGAAGAGGTTAGTGACCGACTCGGGAAGCTTCCGGAAGCGATTATCCGATAAATCGAGATAGCGCAGGTGTTTCAAGTGGTCGATGGAGTCGGGCAACTCGTCGAGTCCCGCACAGCTCAAGTCGAGTACCCTCAAGACTTTCAATCTCAGAAACAATTCGTACCGGACATGTGTACCGGAAGTAGTGTTTTTCCCGCCATGGATAACTCGAAAGGTTCGTAAATTCTTGTACCATAATAAGGATGGTCCCGTGAGAATCGCCAGCTGTCGTTGCGGTTGCACGCCTCTGCAAGCCAACAAGAAATGCCGCGTGTTTCTCGAAATCGTGTCCGTGAGGTCATCATCAAAGCCATCATCTTCGATGCGCAAACACGAGCCACACGACACGGTTTGGGCCATCCAGTGGATCGTGTCGTGCATTGTGTAAATTTTGCGGCCTTCACGTTCGTGGGAGAATTGGAAGAAGGACCTCGAAACTAAATCCTCGAAATAACCGTGCCCGATATCCTCCGACCGGAGCTTCCCGTGCGGGGCCACAAAACCTTCCGCCATCCACATCAGCACGAGCTCGGCAGCCTCAAACTCGTGGTTCTTGGGAAAAACCGAGCAGTATGCGAAGCATTTCCTCAGGCGGGTCGGCAAGCGGTGGTAGCTCACGGCAAGGGCCGCGAAGACTCCATCGGCCTCGTCCCATAACCGGCTTCTCAAGACGGATTCCCACCTGTCAGGGCTGTCGTTACACCTCAGCATGCCCCCGACTGCTCGGGCTGCGAGTGGCGATCCTCTGCATCTCGTCGCGATCTTCCGCCCAATCTCCTCCAATCGAGCGCTGCTGCTGCTGCTTCCCACGGGCCTCTGGGCCGGGCAGGCCCTCCGCCTGATCAGCTCCCAACAGGTCTCATCCGAAAGGCCGTGTAGGAGATACGGAATGGCAGGCTCCACGAGACCCGAGCTACGTGTGGTGACGAGAATCTTGCTCCCGCGGCTCACTCCCCACACGAGAGGCGACACGAGCATGTCCCAGTCGGCCAAGTCATCGTCTTTTTCAATCCAATAATCGTCGAGCACTGTTAGAAACCTCTTCCCTTGGACCAAACTCGAGAGCCTGGCCTGGAGCGCGTCTAGGTAAGACAGCTGGCATGGCGAGCCCGTTGCGGATTCTACAAGAGACCTCGTCACGTGGGCCGGGTCGAAATCGGCGGACACGTGGGCCCACATCTTCAGGTCGAATCCTCGGAGCCGAGCGTCGTCGTAGACGGCCCGGGCAAGGGAGGTTTTGCCGATCCCGGCCATGCCGGCTATAGCGATGACGTCGGTTTTGTCGTTTTCGGACGACAGCAAAATCTGGACAATCTCGTCGACCTCCTTATCTCTCCCGACCACGGGCCCGCCGACGGCGGACAGGGAGCTTGTGGAGGGGCGGCGATGCCTTTCTGGGCCGAGGCCCGGTCCGACGGTGTACAGGGCCTCCATCTCCTTGGCAATGTCGTCCAGATCTTGCTTGATCCTGCTGACTTCTCGGGGGACGGCGAGCTTGAAGGAAGAGAAGAGCACGTTGCGGATCTCGTTCTCGCCTGCACCGGATAAGCGGGCCTGGTTTCGGGCCAGGTCGAGTGAGATCTCGTCGAGTAGGTCGTCGGCGGAGTAGAATAGGGCCTGGGCGTCCTGAAGCCAGAGTCGGCGGGCCTCGTCGCCGGAAAGTAGCGGGGGGTCTTCCTCGACGCGGGCCGCGATGGCCCGGGTCCGCTCGAGGGCTCTTTGCAGTTTCCTGACTTGGTCGTCGACTCCGAAGATGAGGCTGGCTTCGTGAACGGTTAGGGTTGTGAGCTTGTCGATTATGACTTGCAGTGGGGCTGATATGATCCCGGCTTGAAGGACGGAATCCATGGGTTTGTGATCGGCGGCGACCGGAAGGTGAGTCGCTTGACTTGATTGTGGTCTTCACTTGTTCACACAGTAATTTTTCTTTATCTTCAAATGGCCAATTCAGATATTCGAAATGACATGTCATCGGCAAAATAAGACAATTTCCTTTGACTTTGTCAAAATAAGATAATGATTTAAAAAATCAAACAATTTATCGATGTCGTATATCACTGTGAATAACAGAAATTCTATTGTGCCATGTGGCATATATGGTGCCACAATATGATGTGGCACATTATGATTGGTGCCACAACATGATGTGTGATAGTTGTGACACCAATCATAATGTGCCACATCATGTTGTGGCACCATAATACGGTGCCACATGTGGCACCATAAAATTTCTGAATAAATAAACCTAAATTCCAAAATTTTGTTCCCCTAAAGAAGTTAAGAACATTACGTAAAAATTTATATTCCCAAGCCTTTAAGGGCGTTGTTTTGTTCCTTCACTAAATAAATTTTAAACAAGTTCGATATTGAGTTGATCTCATCCTAAATGAATCAAGTCAAGCTCCCGTAAACTTATTTCATACTGTACGTATTTCGTGCGATGTACGGAACAAAGTTATTAAATGAGTTATTCTCATAGGCTCTACCTGTTTAAGTCTTACAAAGCAATAGTACCTCTTGTGATGCACAAGACAAAGTTATTAAATGAGTTATTTTCACAGGCTTTGCCCGTTTAAATATAGAAAGCAATAGGGTTATCATTTATTTTTCACCTCTTTTAATCAACCTAAGCAATAAGGTTATTATCTATTTTTCACCTTTTTTTTAATCAGCGTCAATAGGGTTATCATCTCAACAATATGGTTATCATATATTTTTCACCTCTTTTAATCAGCGTTAAATCTAAAAACAAGCGTCAATAGGGTTATCATTTATTTTTCACCCCTTTTAAATTTTAATCATCATTAAGTTTAAAAAACAATAGGGTTATAATATATTTTCCACCTCTTTTAATTTGCATTATTTTTGTAGCCAGAACATTGAATATTAAAATGTTAGGATAGCTTGTAATATAATTAATATATTATCTCACTAGCACATTTATACCAATATAAATTTGATTTTTGTATATATATTTATTCCTTGATGTAAGAGAAAATAACAGTTTTACTTATTCTTGTTCATCATATAATAAATTTTATTGTCATATAATGTAATTATTATTTATAAAAGGTATAAAAGTTGTAGGTCTTCTTTTTCTTTTAATTTAATGTAATGAAAAATATTTAATATACGTTAGTATTATTTATTTATATAAACAATTTGAAATATGTAAATAAACTTAAAATTAAATAGTGCATAAATATTTTACAAAATATACGCTCATGTTTTTTAGAATTTAATTTCAGAACATTGAATATTAAAATGTTAGGATAGCTTGTAAAATAATTATATTATCTCACTAGCACATTTATACCAATATAAATTTAATTTTTGTATATATATTTATTCCTTGATATAAGAGAAAATAACAGTTTTACTTATTTTTGTTCATCATATAATACTTAATTATTATTTTATTATAAATTTTGTTGTCATATAATGTATTTATTATTTATAAAAGATATAGAAGTTGTAGGTCTTCTTTTTCTTTTAATTTAATGTAATGAAAAATATTTAATATACGTTAGTATTATTTATTTATATGATCAATTTGAAGTATGTAAATAAATTTAAAATTAATTAGTGCATAAATATGTTACAAAATATACGCTCATGTTTTTAGAATTTAATTTTGTATACTAATTAAATAACTTT